TATACTTCTCGAGCGATCAGTTATTTGAGACAGCTGCTGACCTCATAATCTGTTTCTGGACTTCAGTGGTATACGAGGATGCTGTTTCGGCATTGCAAATATGCTTCTTGTGAGTCCCTGTCATGATTGCCCCCCTCTTCAACTCCGCCCCGTCTCCTCACATGCTTTTTTTCTTTTTTCTGAATTACTTACTTGGATCGTTTCATGTCATATTTTAGGTCAAGAGAATGAGGGAAACACTATACTCTTCACTTCTTGTTCAGGTTCTGAAATTATTAGATTTTCCGTTTTCTTGTATCCGCCAAACTTTAACGTTGTAGATATACCGGTTTATTCTGTGACTTATTACATAGTATTTCCATTGTAGGATATATTCTTTTTTGACACTGAAACAGTTGGTGATTTGACGAGTAGGCTAGGGGCAGATTGTCAGCAAGTATCACGAGTTATTGGGAATGATCTCAATATGATATTTCGCAATGTTCTTCAGGTAGTTTTACTACTTTAATCATCATTTCTGGTTTATTCACTACTTTATCAATTGATTCTGAGTTTGCCTATGCTCTTGAGATTTATTTTATCTTTCCCATGGTTCTTTTTCAGGGGACAGGCGCGATGATCTATTTACTAGTTTTGTCACGGCCTCTTGGTTTATGCGTATTGGCGATATGCTCTACTTTAGCAGCAATTATGCTGATATATGGCCGGTAAAACTTTTCACAGTTTCGTCAGTACTTCTTCCTCTATATGTAGAACTGCCTTGCTAAACTTATATGTTACTGTAAAATTTATCTGTTAATATGATTTGGGTGTGTTTCAAATTTTCAATAGAAGAATGGGTAACAATAGAAATCTGTATGCCGTTGGAGGTGAATGATTCGTTGTAGTTTGGTCTGTGTCGCTTTACAAAGACAAGTAAGGAATAACGTTGGGGAAAAAATATTGTTGTCATTTCAGAACAACAAGATGCCCTATGACTTCACATCAGATATTAATCTTTATTGGGGAGAAATGGACAGAAATGTCTGTATCACACGCTTGTTGTTACTGAGTCCGGCTCTTTCTGATCATTGTTAATTTAAAAAGGTTGAGGCTTAAAACCTTTCCTTTCTTATAGGTACCAAAAGAAGGCAGCGAAGCTAACTCAGGAGTTCACTGCTTCTGCCAATGAGGTAGAATTGAAAATGTTAGATATAATTGTTTTGTTGAAGCTTGGGTTCTTAAGTGATTTATAGTTTACCTGAGTTTTCTTCATATAATGTAGGTTGCACAAGAGACATTCTCTTTGGTGAGAACTGTTCGTGTTTATGGAACAGAAGAACAAGAACTTGGAAGGTGACAGATGCTATAGAATTGAACCTTTTACCAGTTTGAGATTTGACAAGTGCAGAGATGTTTCTTAGTGGTTGACAGAGATGTTTACATCTATGCATGCTGTATAGGTACAAACTGTGGCTGGGGAAACTAGCTGATATAAGTGTGCGGCAAAGTGCTGCATCTGGTTTCTGGAACTTGAGCTTCAACGCTCTTTATCACTCAACACAGGTCTAGCTTTTTCAATGTTTCAGAGAGATGATTTTAATTTCAAAATAGCCACATTCTGGCATTCATGATCAAGACAAGTTTCTTTTTTATTTTCTTCATCCTACTACTCCTTGTAGTTGACTTCGTTTATTGGCACACACAATTTTCTAGGTCATTGCCGTGCTGATAGGAGGAATGTCTATTCTTGCTGGCCATATTACAGCAGAGAAACTTACAAAGTTTATATTGTACAGCGAGTGGCTAATTTATTCAACATGGTGGGTGGGGGACAATTTATCCTCTCTGATGCAATCTGTTGGGGCAAGTGAAAAAGTGTTCCAATTGATGGATCTCTTGCCCAGTGACCAATTTATATCGAAAGGCAAGGAATTTATAAATTTCATGAACATTTTACATCAATATGTTGTTTCCCGCTAAAATTAGGTTAATTATTTTTTGGTACTTTCTGTAGTTTATTTGTTTTGTTTCGCACTATTGACGTGCCATAAATTTTTATGTTGATGTTCTTTGTCAGTAGTGACGATTCAGCACATCTGCTTTATTTTTTTCTTCTAGTAACTTTTTTTAATATTTTATTTGATTGGATTTTTTATGTTTGTGTGGCAGGATCAAAGTTGCAAAGGCTGGTTGGACATGTTGAGTTTGTAAATGTGTCTTTTCATTATCCTACAAGACCAACGGTATATTCCCTACACAAATACTGCATCTGGGTTCTGTTTATGACAGCCTGGTTTCTTATATTCCTGGGAAATTTTTTAACTAGAAGCTGCTTACTTTGGTTTTTTTGTCTTTCCCACTAAAGTTTCTCATCTTCTACCGAGTTTGTTTTTGGTTTCTATGCCTTTAGGGGTACACAAATTACTAATTTAAGTTTATGTAGCATTAAAATTTACACCACCAAATTCCTAATGACAACATTTTATTGCCACCTGTTTCGTTTGACTGGGCTATAGCTGATTTGAAATATTTATATAATTCTTTGTTGCTTAAAATTGTTAAAATTGCTGATGCAAGTAGACATTTGAATAGGTATCTGTACTGCAAAACGTCAGCTTATTGGTGAAACCTAATGAAGTGGTTGCTATTGTGAGTATCACTGACTCTATTTATTTCTTATTCTCCCTGCTAAAGTTAAGCACTCAACTTTGCAATCTTCTAATTTTCTTAGGTTGGTCTTAGTGGGAGTGGAAAAAGCACACTAGTGAATCTTTTGCTCCGTCTTTATGAGCCAACAAATGGTCAGGTAGAACAAGTTAAAGCTTTCCATATATGTGTTTCAACAAAAAGAAAAAAAAAAAGAGAGGAAGGATCTGTGATGCTGAGATTCGGTAGTTGAAATATACGTTGCTTTAATTGCAGATTTTGATTGATGGCTTTCCTCTACAAGATTTAGACGTCATGTGGTGGAGGGAAAGAATCGGATTTGTTGGACAGGTTCTTATTTTACTTTCAGCATGAAAATTAGCAGATTATTAAGTAGACCTTGTCTTCTTACGTTTCAATCTAAACAGGAACCCAAACTTTTTCGTATGGACATTAGCTCAAATATTAGATATGGATGCACTAGAGATATAACACAGGAAGATGTAGAATGGGCTGCAAAGCAGGCATATGCACATGATTTCATTTTATCCCTGCCCAATGGATATCATACTCTTGTCGATGACGATTTGCTCAGTGGGGGACAAAAGCAACGAATTGCTATTGCCAGGGCTATCCTTAGGGACCCAACCGTTTTGATCCTTGATGAAGCCACAAGCGCACTGGATGCAGAGAGTGAACACAACGTGAAGGTAAGCATTTATTGGCAATAAGCTCCCCACACCCTGAACCACAAGGTATTAAAAGGATAAGTAATTTGATGTGGCATTCACTCATATCCAGGGTGCTCTTCGTGCTGTCAGAAGTGATAAGACAACAAGGAGAACTGTCATCATTATTGCCCACAGGTTGGTTGTCTAATAACCGCTCTATTTTATTGTCCGCTGGGTGATTCTGACTTCTGAAAGTCGGCTGCCTCATTTATACAGGCTATCGACCATACAAGCTGCTGACAGGATAGTGGTAATGGATGCTGGTAGAATTGTTGAGGTTAGAAACTTTGTCTATCCCTCACAGATATCCCTGCTTAGAGAAAAACCTTGTAGGATACTATTACTATCAATCGATCTCTCGTACTAGAGTTTTATTCAGTTTCTTTGTTCTTTTTCGGGGTTGAAGTTCTGGTGCTTGATGTAGGCACCAACCCAACCAGGAGTGTCTTTTGCACCTGCTATTTGATTATGTAACCTGAATACAACTTTTGTGTTACACAGACTGGCAGTCACAGGGAGCTTCTCGTTGATGGTGGCCTCTATGCACGACTGACGAGAAGGCAAGCTGATGCTGTGGCATGATCTAAGAGGATCATGACACCACAAGTTTAACTCGTATTTGTTCGATTAATGTTTATGAGATGCATCATGGACCATGGAGGTGCAACCAAATTTCGTACTGCTGACCCATACAACACGTGAAAGAGAAGTCGCACTGGGTGTAAAGCTGTGAAGCGAGGTCAATAGATCATGCAGCACAGAAGCTGGTGTAGTAGTGATGCTTCGCCATCCCCGTAAGGTATGCAAATGCCGCTACAAACGGAATCTGCAACATCGGATTTACCTCTTTTTGGGACGTCCGAAGTATAATTAGAAAAAGCACAGATGTATGGATTGAATCCAGTGACCGGAAATATACTTGTACATCAACTAGAATTTGTGTATGCACTAACCGTTGGAGTCGACTAAAACGAACAGACACAACTATATCAAATGTTTTGAGTTATTAATTATGATTTTACTACCTTGTTTGGCTCTGGGTAAAATTGCTTAATCCTACCACATTTTTGTGACTCACTCACTTTCTTTGTGTGAAGTCAAGCTTTTGGGTAGGAAGTACAATGTACCACATTTCTTTCGTTTTTCGAATCTGTGATACAATGGATATTGGGGAACTTGAACACATAATCTTGGTAGTAAACGCTTTTAACTTACAAGTGCTTTGACCCCATAAAAAAAAATAAAATAAAAAAAACCTACAAGTGCTTCTCGAGATTAACAATTCTTGATAGAGAAAAGGTAAATGAGTAATTAAATTTTCAAACCAAATAATATGTCATCAGTAAGAAATCGGCATGTTAATCGATACTTGATTAATAATTCAATGATCAATAACCATATTATTTGATTTAAAATTTTGATCTCTCTATTATTATGCCGTAGAGAAATGATATTCAATCTGATATAAAATTTATAAAAAAAAACCTAGCGAACCGAAAAATAGAATGAAACTTGTAATTTTTTTAAATTTTCATCTGATTCGGTTATGGGCTCAAAAACAGGCCCACAAAAGGCCCAAGTTATAGAAACCCCCGCGGGCCCGCGGGAGTGGAAAGCGTTCATCCTCCGCCTTCAGTCAATTACACTGCACTTGGTGCAAACCCTCGCTGCAAATCGAAATCCCCTTCAGCCCCCCATTTGTCAAAAGCAATAAATAACAGAAAAAGAAAAGGAAAAAGACGAATTAATAAGAAAAAAAGAGGAAAAAGGAGGCCAAAAATCCAAAAGGAAACGCAATGGATTCGTACCAAGCGCAGCAGCGGTACCTGAGACCGCCCCCGCCGCCGCAACCACCTTCCACGTCGGATCCCTATCACTACCAGCAGCAGCCGAGGCCACAGTGGTACCCCAATCAGTACCAGTACCCACCACCTCCACCACCACCTTACGCCGAGCATCTCCCTCCTCCGGGCTCTTATCCTCCGCCCCCTCACCCTTATCCTGCACATCCCCCAAATCACGCCCACTTCCCTCCTCCCCCTGCCGCTCCTCCTCATCAATCTCACCCTCACCTGCCTCCCCCTCCGCCCCGCCCTCCTCCCCATTCTTATCCTCAACACACCCAGGTATCCCCTCAACTCTCTCTCTCTCTCCATATATATTTGTATATGTATATGTATGCATGTGGGTCTGATCTCTGATGTTGATAAATTGATTATTTTTGGTAGTTTGAACTTGTTGGGTATGCTTGAATCTTGACGTTATTATGATTAAAACAATCGCTGTATCAATATTTGGGGTAAAAGTTATTTGGCATAGTGTAATGCTGATGTTCTAACGCAAAGCATAAACCTTTGCAGGAGTGGGGAGCCGCTCCTCCGAGTTGGCCGAATTACGCAGGTGAGTTCTGTTTAAATCACATTTTATATAAACCACAATTTTGTTTGTTGAATATGCAGTAAAACACCATGTTCCCCGTTATATCTCTGTCATCCACTTAATCTGTTCAGCGGAATTAGTTCCTTTGTGCAGAAAAACAAACTCAAGGTCCTATTTGTGCAACTATCCAATTGCTTATTTGATCTAGTGTAAAGACAAAACGTTGCTGGGAATAGTAGTTTCTGCTTTTTGCGGGTTAATGGCAATGAATTAATTTTGATTTTTTTGTAATGGTAGCCCAAAATAATCAAGATTGGGAAGCCAAGGCTAAGGCATGGGCAGATGCCAGAACAATGGAGAATCAACATCAACAGGTGCAGTTTCCACCGGCGGGGAGATTAGAAGAACAAAGTCATTATCACGAACAGTATCCCCACAATGTTGACCCGCATTATTCTGGAAGTCACCATCAGTCATTTTCTACATCTAGCTATCAACAGGTTCCAGTTTCAGGCGCTCCAACACACTACCCACCGGGAATTCGTTCCCAGGAGACTTCATCTGTCGGCTCTGAACTATCTTCTTATGCTCATCACACTGTTGGAGATGGAACGCTAGCTGGGGACGCGAATGCTGTGTTTCACCATCAAGGAAGCCTATCTACAAGTTCATCTGTCCATCAGCAGGAGGTACCTTATAGTTATTCTTCTGTTACAGGTAATAATTCAAATGGTATTGGCTTTGCATGTGAAGCTTGTGTTCCACAACTGCTGTTATGGAACTCAATTTTACTATTTAGTTTGACATTCTGGATTTTTTTCAATATTACCAAATATGGCACCTTCCATTCAGATCATTAAAGTATCTTTAAAATCTTAGTTGGACGTTGCTTCTTTTTAGCTGTGATTATTTCAACCAAATTAATCTTAATCTCGGTACAAGTAGGTGGTTGATACTGACTGGTTATGTGGCTCTCCTTCTTCTCCCTTTTTTTGGTTTGAGATAACTGTTCTCATTCATTAATTATCTATATTGAATGGATGCTGAGTTTCTTTTTCGTAATCCTAATACCATTTTTTGCAGTTGGTTATGAGATGTAATGCAATGAAATGCATAAACTTGATACTCTTTGTGCAGGTGTAGGCCTCCATCTGGATACTTTTAAAATAATAATTATAACAATGAGAATCTGACAGGAAATTACAACATTAGAATATTTTTCTGTGGCTGAATTAATGGTAAAAAAGGGACAGAGTATATTACTCCAAACTCCCTTGCAAGACTCGTTGCTACCTCTCTAATATATAATTGACTACAAATTGGTAGAATATAACAAAGCTTATTATGTGTGAATCCTTGCAAGCCTTTGTAATTTACGAATTTCACATGTTGGTTTAAGCAAGAAGTGCGGTGAGACCCACATTAGTCGGGGAGTGTTGGAGTATAAAATATTTGTTTGCCCACATCCTAACAACATTCTTTTTTTGGGGAATAGTTGTAAATTAAATTTCTTTTAATTGCAAGAGACACCTTAGCAAGCGATTGGTGCAAAGTTGAAAGGAGGTTAGAGTAATTGACTCATACCCAATCAGATACACTGTTATAGTACTTCGCCAATTAAATTATGTTCTCTTTTTAAGCTGGAGGAGTCTTACCATGTAGAGAAAGAATGCATTTTCCATTTGATTGAGTGCTGACCTTCTCCATTGTCAATAACTCCATCTTCCCTGTACAGATTCTCCGAGTTGGATTCGTGGTAATATAAATGGGTTTTGGGACATAATATGCCTACCTTAATCAGCTTCTGTTGAGATTAGAAAGAGAATAATTATCCTATTCTAATACTTGTAGTTGAAATAGAATAAGATTTTAGAGTCTGGTTACATCTTTGTTCTCACATTTTCATTGGATTTTTATGGTGCATGGTGTCTTAAGAATTCATACAAAAGAGATGAGCTTTGCTTGTGTAACCGGAAAGATCCAATTCCTAGTAGCAAATTTGTACCCTTATTTGTGCCAAGGATATTTCACCCCTAAAAAGTCTTGATTTGCTGTTTGACTATTTACTTGAATGGCAGGCAATGAAGGGACTGCAGCTCAGGAAGGACAACATCACATACAGCCATCGCAGCCCTTTCCTTTTGCCTATGACAGTCAGTCTGCTGATCCAACAACCAATGTTGCTGACCAGCCTTTAGAATTTGCACCCGGGTTTAGCTCTGATCATGGTCCACACATGCAATCCAGCTATGCTTATACTGATTCACATGGAACTATAAGAGGTGTCGACCCAGCGACCACAGCACCCTCCATGAATACCTGGCCTAGTTCTGTTGCACCTGGTGTAGGTTATCCTCATAATGTTCCAGTTCCACTACAGGTGTTAATTCTGGTTTCATGTGTCTTTCTTCAGTTCTAAGGCCTTCGTATGAATGTGTGCTGACATTTGTTTAATTCTGCAGCATGATCCCTCTAATGCAATACCCTCTCCTGTTCCTGGGCATGCTCCACATTCGTTTGGAAGTTTCCCATCTGCTGCAATGCCCTTTGCTCTCACTGCAGGAACCATCCCTGGTGATGCATATGGAGTTTCCACAGTTACTGAGCGCCCCAAAAAGGTAAAACTTTGCCATTGTTAACATATGTTTATACTTTATGGTGAGTTACATGATTGTTATTCAATCTGCTCCTGAAATTTATGCCAGGCTCCAGTGCCTAGTTGGCTTAGAGACGAAATTAAGAAAGCAGTCATCACAAGTACGTCTATGGGCCATCCTAAGGAGGAAACTCAATCTGTTGAGGATGAAGGTTTTGATAGATCTTCTGTGAAAGGTGATCAAGCAGACAGCAAGAGCATCAATTCTTCTAAATCAACAGAAGAAGAGGATGATGAGGTTTTTTTCTCACCAGAAGAAGATTCATTTTGCATCTGAAGTCCCACTCACCTCTAGTGAACTGTACTTTCTAAAAAAGTGCAGTTTTTTTTTCTTTGTCCATATATACATCCCATAATAATTGCTAGCTTTTCATTTTCATTGTGGGATTAACATGCCATATCTTTTTGTTTTGTAGGATCAAGTGGAAGCTGCTAGGACTGTAGCAATTAACCAAGAAATAAAGCATATCCTAACTGAAGTTTTCCTGAAGGTTGCAGTGTTTAGGAGTGCAGATTGCTTATTTAACTCCATTATACTGTACCTTTAACTAATATGTTTCTGTCAGGTTACTGATGAGCTGTTTGATGAAATTGCTACAAAAGTTCTTACTGAAGATGATCTGACAGTTGAAGGTAATTGTACCATAATTGCTCCTTAGATTTGTGCTGATATATATAATGTTGTTTGTTTAGTCTAGCATTCTTTATTTTTTTTTCTCAAAAGAGGAAAGAATTTAACCAATTGTGTCATTTGTTACAGTTGAACAGAGCACACCCACTTCAAACCATAAGGTATTGCCATCTCCGCCAGCAGTTACAGCTCCCAAGGCTTCTGCAAAAGTTCTAATTGGGGCCAAGTCTAAGGAATATGAGACTGAAGATGTCAAATCCAGTCCTACTTTACCTGGTGATGTATTGGGTCTTGCAGATTATGCTACAGATGATGAGGATGAAGATAGTGATATTCAGAGTTCTGGCATGCCAAATTCTGGGAAAGATGCTATGCTTCAGCAGTCATCTGTCAAAAAGCCTTCAAATGATAGGCATGATGCCACTGTAAATGACCGTTCTTCTGTAGAGCTTCAGGAGCATAGTAAAAGTCAGACAATTTTGGAGAGTGGACGGGGCAAAACCAGTTCACTTGAGTCCTATAATAGACACAAGCATGATGATAGTAATGGTGATAGAAATCTGCCAGATGGAACTACTGCCTCTAGGTTGAATGATACCGTAGGAATATTCAAACCTGAACTACCCAAAGAAAATGTCAATGTGAAAACCACACCAAAAGATGACCCACAAGTTATGGAGTCCAGGATGAAACCCGATAAGCATGATCGAGATGAGAGTAAAAAGAGTTTTGTGAAAGACATCAATAAGGAGGTAGAAAGTGGTAAGATTAGGACAGATGATAAGGGTGATGAGAATCGTAAGGGACAGTATCCTAGAAAGGAAAGGGCAGATGATCGGAATGGCTCACAAGTAAAGGTGAAAGAGCAAAGTGTGAAGGAATCTGAGTCAAGAAAAAGGTCTTCCCATGCTGATGCCAAGGAGGGTAGAAGAGAAACAGAGCGACTCCATAGGGCAGGTGCTAAAGAAGATAAGGACAGGAAAAGAGAACGGACAAAGGATAAGGAGGGCGATAGATCAAGACATAAACATTCTACTGACTCAAGCAGGCACAAGAGAAGGCGCTCCTCTTCTGTTGGCAGTAGAGGAAGAAACAGCAAGGATGATTCAAGTGATGAAGCTTCTGATGATTCTAAAAGGTTCTCCATTTTGATCATCTGATTATTTCTTTTTCAGTTCAACTATTATTACGCTGTGATTCATATAATATAATGTGGCAGGAAGCGGCATTCAAGGAGACGTAACTTATCACCATCACCCGTCAGGTCAAGGAGAAGGTAACCATTTATGAGTTCTTTTCTTCATTTTTTTTTCTTTGTTGCATTGTAAAGTTCATACCATTGAGTTTTACAAAGATCCGATAGATCAAAATTGATAATATGTTTTGGACTGTTGTCCTCTTGTGTCAAAGTTTTATACAGAAATCAATGTAAACTAAAAATAATGCCATTAGCAGGTTAATTCAAAAGCTAGAAGATACAAAATGAACTGATATTAAATCTATTCATCTGAGGTACTTTTGTGGCTCCAATGTGACTGTTGTGTGAGATTGGAACTTTATTGTGATGGTTTATTTTTTATACTTTGCAGTAAATCAGTGTATTTTATTTTTGCAATTACATTGCACTAGTGTTTTCCCTTTTTTTGTATTAGAATTCGTTTATCTTTCAGCATTCTCTTTTGCTTTTGTGAATGATTTTACTGACTTAACATTTTGAGGTTATGAAACGTCTAATATGTTTAGCTCTTTTATTTTGAATTGATTTACAAGGTCAGAAATAAAAACTAAAATTCTGAATGAAGAGTGAAAATGTATACATGGTTTCATTGTAAATTGTCAAGTACCGTTGTTGAAATCGATTTCATTTGGATATTGTTGTATTGCCTATATGAATAATGATCAATCATTTGGATCTTGGTAACCTTGTATGCAATGCTGCAGCAAAAACATAATTGTGGTGATGAGAGTCGGTATCCTGGATGTCTTTGTCAGTTTTACCATTTGGAACTTGTTTTATGTCTAGTTACAGTTGACACATAGTAATGTGCAGAGAAAAGCTTAAACCCTTGTTTTCTAAACCCTTTTGAGAATTATGACTTGTTCATATAGGTTCTTTACATAGTCATTAGAAGCCGAAAAATATGTTCTAATGGGTCACTCCTTATCAAGTATGGCTCTGCAAAAGGCTGAGCATTTCTCTTCTGAACAATGCATGTTTAAACTTACCAAATAAGTATCATGGATGTTTTCGTTTCTAGACAAGTTTCGCGGTCTCCACATAGCAAGCATTCTCAGCGCAGGCATTCTCCTTATTCTTCTCTTGAGACGAGCAGGTATGTATGTTGCCATGAAATCTTTGTTGTGTATTGTTTTTCAGACATATACAGCTCTATCAATAAGCAACTACTCAGGTGATATTGCTAGGCTTCCGCTTCTACAACTCTAATCACCGTCTGGTCTGTCTTAACTGTTCTAATTAATATGCAGGGGAAGAAGGTCAAGATCCAGATCACCTGTGCGGCGGCAGAGATGATTGGAGGAAGGATCCTACAGCGATAGAGAGCCAGAATTATGTCCAATACTGAAGAATCAGATGCGCGGTGGAACTGAGTTTCGCAACAAAGCCGGTGCACCATGTTCAGCCACCGCAGTTGGGTATTGTTCCAATTACGAAATCGGTGTACTTTGTTGAATGGTTCCATTTAGTACCGAGGATAATGGCAGTATGGCACAGCATGCACGACAGCTTGAGTCCGGTTGGTAATGTGGATGAACTGCTGGTGGTTTCGTAGGAATTATAATTACGGTTTTGTGGCATGGCGATTTGTGGTTTCGGGTCTTATGAATTGCTCCAATGTTCCTACCCCCGGATTGTGACTAAAGGATCAAAAATATGATGCGTTTTTATGATTCGACCCAGATGATGTGTAATCGTAGTTTTTGGTAGAAGAAAATAAATGCGTTGTGATTAATGGATTTTAAATCGTATAATATTATAATTAGAATCGTTCAAAGAAAATCAATTAAATTTAAGAAACTTTAATGAAAAGTTCATGGGACTGTTCATTTTAACGAAAAATCAATCTTGTTACCATTTATTTTGTCTTTATCGTTAAAACTCAAAGTTTTCAAGTATTTTTAATTAGTTTTTTCATTAAATTTAAGATCATCTGGTCATGTTCTTATGAATGATCATATCAATTGTGTCACTCATCTTTAATAGATTCTTGCCAAGGTAATTTTAAGTGACAAATAAAAAAAGTGAACGGTTTTGATTATGCCACGTATGGATCTAAAAATACGTTAACCAGAATTGGGTGGAAGTGCGTAATAAATAGTCACAAAAAATGATGAAGCGAAACGACGCCGCAGGCTTTGGGGCCTGATATCGTTGACTCTGATGAGTTCAAGATTCAAAGAAGCACATGAAATGGAGGAAAAGGTACTTAGATTGGAATCTGACGTGCGGAATACGACAAGTCGCACAACTCACATGGATCCCGCACGGCCTTTGTCCTTGGTGCGCGCGATGCTGCCTGCCCACCTGGTGCGTTCGTTACTCTCCCACCTCTCCTCTCTCTCTCTCTCTCTCTCTCTCTCTCCTCTTCTTCTGTTAAAGTTCCATACTATCTCTCTCTCTCTCTCTCTCTCTACATTTATATTCAGCTCAGCTTGCGATTCATACAACAAAACAAAATCATCATTTTCTTACGTTGTTGTTGACAACTCCACGTCGAATGAAGGTCACAAACTCCCCTGCTTCTTACAATGTTTCATTCTCTCTGCCATTGTTTCACAAACAAAAAACATCAAATATTGTTCTTGTTTTTGTTTTCGGGTTTTGCAGGCATTTCAGGTGGGAGTATGGAGTTTATGGTCGATTTGGCTAACTGGGTTGGCGCTAATTGCCCTCTCCCTGTATGCCACTCAATGCTTTCCTTCCCTCAAGGATCAGATCATGAGGCCCCAGCTCGGTCAACGGGCTGGCGGAGGTTTGGACACTCCTAGGATTACTATATTCTCGGCGCCTGCGCCTTTTGCTGGTTCTGTTGGGGGTAGGCAGAGTCTGGCTGTTCGCTCATGGCTTGCATTGTCTCCACAGATTACAGTTGTGCTCTTCAGCAGGGACCCTTCTGCTGTTTCCTTTGCCGGAGCGTTTGGTTTGCGGGTTTTGGTCGATCCTAACATCGATTTCACGTAAGCCTATTACTTTTTCATTCATTTCTTGCTCTTTACTTTATTCAAATAAAACCCATTTAGTTGAACATAAATGTTTGTAGTGAATTTCTGATGATTGAATTAATAAAGGAAGAAAAAAAAAATCGAAATGGTCATCGAACGTGCCTGTATATCAGGCGGTTTACTCCAAAAGATGGTTTTTGATGACTAGTTCAGGCTTCAGGAAATCCTCGACGAGTAATGTAGTTGGAGCTAGAACTGGCGTATATTTATTGCCGTCTGATATGTGTCTGTCATCTGTGTCGGTCTAGGTTCCTCGGTACACCATTTTTTCATTCGATGATGGCAAGATCACAGTCCTTTATAACGGACATTTCTGTTCTGGTTGATCCTGAAACCATTGTTTTACCTGACTTTGTTTCCACCCTGAACTATGCTTACACACTTGACCGAGATTGGCTTCTAGTTGCTTCATCACGAAATGCATCCTACTTCCCATTCTACTTGGACGAGGATGGAAAAAATTGGCAAAGAGAGGGTGGCGAATTGATGAGAACACAAGAGGTATGAAGTAACTTATTCCGGTCTGATATTTGATCGACCATTCAGGACAACTCCCTTAATATTGTGCTCTCTTCCATCAGTTGCAGGAGATTTTTGGTCAGAGTTGGCAATGGACTCCCTGTGAAGGGAAGTTGCTTATGGCATGGAATAATGGAGATACGCCACTACATTCGGGAGTCCTTCCTCCTTTCTTATACGGTAGAGGGGTGCACAACAGTTGGATCGTTAATGAGGCCTTGTCATCTGAACTGAGGTTTGTATTTGATACCAGTTGGACAGTCTCAAGCTGCTATCTGATTGATCAGGACCGTCAGATTAACTGGCCTGTTGGATCTTCCAATGCTTCAAATTTTGAAAGAAGCTGGGAATATGCTGGAAATTCTCACCTTGGGGCACTATATGGATCATTGTCTCATCATGAAACTAACCATTCTAGCCTAGCAAAGCTTTTGAAGTGTGACGGGCAATATACTTTCGTAAACACAGCAGAAAACATTGCTTGTCCAATGGAATACCAAAGTGCAGGGAGATTACGAAAAGGAAGGATATTGCGTTCCTGGAGGAAGAAGAAAACTTTGGGTTTGGTTGACAGTGTTAAATCACTAGGCTGGTTGTCAGATTGCTATCTGATGGTTCCACTAAAGCGTTCGAAACCATTAGACCTTCCGTTCTCCTTGGAGACACTACTACCATTAAATGCAGACAAAAATAATACAATTGTGCTTGCTACTGCTGGATATAGTTACAAGGACATGCTCATGAGCTGGGTGTGCAGATTACACCAACTGCGGATCACAAATTTTATCATTTGTGCCCTCGACAAGGAAATATATGAGTTTGCTGTCTTGCAGGTAATCTTTATATTTATTATGTGAAATTTCGGTAAATGGAAATTCAATGTTGAAGCTAGTCTGTATTGTAGATTGATCTCCACATCAAATGTGTTGTAGTTTTGATTGTCTATTTTGTATTATTGCTAGGGCCTCCCTGTTTTCAGGGATCCATTAGCTCCGAGTGAGATCAGCAGCGACTGCCACTTTGGAACAAAATGCTTTCAGAAGGTGACCAAAGTGAAGTCCCGGATGGTTTTGAAGATACTGATGCTGGGTTACAACGTGCTTCTTAGCGATGTGGATGTATATTGGTTTGGAAATCCGCTGCCATTGCTCTACTCCTTTGGCCCTGCTATTCTTGCAGCACAGTCCGATGAATTCAACAAAACAGGTATTCTTTTTTTATGTTATATAATCACGTAGCATGGAGGAGAAAACAAAATGTCCTCTGATGTTTGGAATATAACTGGATAAATGTTCTGAGTGACTACTTAGCTATTAAATCGAGCAACCTAAAACCCCTATGTGGTATTTTCTGTATGAAGGACCAATCAATGTACCTAGGCGCTTGAACTCTGGCTTTTACTTTGCCCGTTCTGATAGTTCGACAATCAATGCTATGAGGAAGGTGGTGGCACATGCAGCAACTTCGGGTCTATCTGAGCAGCCAAGCTTCTACGACACGCTATGTGGAGAAGGGGGTTCCAATCGTGTGGGTGACGATAGATGCTTGGAACCTGAAACAAATCTGACTGTCCATTTCTTGGATAGAGATCTCTTCCCAAATGGTGCATATCTGGACCTGTGGCAGAGGAAAAACGTGAAGGCAGCCTGTGCGAAGCTGGGTTGTTTGGTTCTCCATAACAATTGGATCAGCGGGAGACTGAAGAAGTTAGAAAGGCAGGTTTTATCAGGCCTATGGGAATATGATACCAGCACAAGGATGTGCCGGCACGAGTTCAACTTAGTAAACAAAGTTTGAGTCCTAATTGGTGGTTTATTATATTCATTAGCATCTGCTTTGGTTTTCACATCCGACAGTGACAACAAAATTGTTCCTCATATTTTGCAACTATGGAAGCCTTGGTTTCATCACAGCTTCCTGTGGAAGAGAATATTATACGAAGGAAAGCCGGCCACAAAAAACCAGAAACCAGGAACTATGCAGTGTGGCCAATGCTCAATAATATCAAGGCAATAGAATGCTCACACTTTCCACCGATGGACCATGCTAAAGCGTTTTGATCGGGCTACTTTTAACCGTGGCTATGCTGAAGTGGTGCATCCAGTTGTTAGGCCTAGCCCGGAATCCTGGCAGAAATCAGTTGACAGGACCTTCCATGGATGACAAATCCAAAAGAAAGGAAGTAGATGCTGCTTCCATATCATTAGACTTGAGCATGCAGTCGAAGGATATTTTCGTGAGGATAGTTCATGCAGGCGGTCGTGAGGAGCTGTACCAGAATGTAGTTCCTGCATCTCAGTTGATGGAAAAGTATCCTGGTTTGTGCGTCGCCCGCCCAGAAGTGTTCAAAAATCCGCAGGAGGCCCTTTTACGGCCAGATGAGATTCTGTTGATTGGTAAGAAGTATTACATGATACCATGTACTACAGCGCAGAAAATTAAGAAAAAACACCAAAAGAAATTGAAGGCCAAAGAAGCTGCTGAAGGCAAAGATGAGGCTCCGGATGGGAAGAACACCGTGGATTCAGGAGGTTCCGACACAGATGATTCTGTTTGCTCCGATAAAGAATATTATGTCTCCAAGGAAAGATGGTCAAAATGTTTACGGAGAAAAGGTTTCAGAGGAAAGAAGCCTTTTGTTCCCCCACTTCCGAGGACAAGATCATGTCGAGGAATAAATTGGGAGCCAAGTCTCACTTCTGTGCAAGAGCTTTCTCCATGATTTTCTGTATGCTGTTAACCTGGCGTTCGGATTCTGCTACGTGGTTATATTGCTACTGCAAGTATGTTTTTGGTTCCATGAAAATTCTGAGAGAGATTTATCAAAAATTTTATACACCGTAATAAGTAATGTACCGTTTTTCCAGCAATATATTCTATTTTCTATATCAGACTGCTCGTGTACGATAATCATAGCAGTTTCTTTCAACAACTTTCCACTGTCAGATTCGTTGAATATATTGATGTTTCCCTGGAAATAGAAGATCAGTTTTGTCACGAGATTTTGTAGGTAGATTCAGCCACAAAGAACATACATGTCTTTAATAATTCTTGAAACAGAAGAAACGCCCGATGAAAGAAATTTGAGAATAAAAAGGCTTTGAGAACAAGCAGGATCATTAGTTCGACAAATCAAATTCGGAAAAGAAGTGATTGTTTTTAATTAATGACTTACATTAGATGTTCATCACTTCAATCTTCAAATGTAGACTCATAAAATATAAGACAAAAGCTTGGTAAAGATCCATGTGTATAAAACTGAAAGGAAAGCACCAGCAGGAATTGTCACAGCCCAAGAAGCCACAATTTCCCTCACGGTTTCTGCTCTAACTCTATTAAGCCCCCTTGCAAATCCCACCCCCATGACTGCGCCCACCAGAGTATGCGTGGCGGAGATTGGCAGTCCCAGCTTTGAAGCAAATAGAACCACCGAGGCTGCTGCAAACTCAGCCGCAAATCCTCTCGTTGGTGTCAGCTCTGTAATCTTCTTCCCAATCGTTGCTATCACCCTGTACCCCCACATTGTGAGACCTGCTACAATTCCGAATCCTCCCCATGCCAGAACATCAGTCGGAATAACAATCTCCGGACCACTAGCGCAGCCATGAAGAATAGATAATGCACCAGCCAAAGGACCTATTGCGTTTGAGACATCATTCCCGCCATGAGCAAATGCCATGAAGCAGGCTGAGAGGACTTGCATGTATCCGAAAACTCCATATACTATTTCCAACTGTGTACCGGTTGGACCTGCAATATCAGAGAGAAACCCGATATTTTTTTGCTGGATGGTACCCTCCGTTTGCTCCGCTTCCGATGACATGGACTTGACGAGGAGATGACCTAGCTGCCTATGGATTAGTCTGTAGAAGAGGACCGCACCTGCAACTCCACATGCTAGAGCCTTGGCGAGAGCCAAAGGCAAGCTTTTTCCAAGAGGAAAGACTGCGAATGAGATTCCAGTTACGCCGACTAGTACAGCAATTGGTGCTGCTGCAGCCGCAGCTTGTCCCGGATTTGGAGCGCTGTACACATACTGAACGGAATAGAGAAAAATAAGGGTTGTAAGAAGTAAGAACTAAGCATTGTATTCGCAAATTAAAGCAGAAAATCAAGTTCTAAGCACTAAAACATTCAATCACGTCGATAGAAGAGAACAAAGTTGAAGAAAATTGAGTAGAAGTGACGTTTTCTCAATCTTTCATTAAAACAAGACGTCGTGCACAGAGTCGGTTTAGTTGCATCTCCAAAGAAGTAGAACATACCCTACGAATGAATTTGTACACAAGAAAGGACACCAGTGCTCCGATGAACGGCGAGATCACCCACGACGAAATCACCCTCGCCAACGAACTCCAGAAGACAGCACCTGGGCCGCCATAGACAAGTCCGAATCCGACCATGGATCCAACTATACAGTGCGTTGTCGAGACCGGCCAGCCATAAGATGATGCAACCTGACTAGCAGAAAACAATTACTCGTGGATGGAAGAAAGAACAGAACATGGCAACGTAGCACATAAACTTATGAAACGAATAATAAATCGTACACAACTAGGCTAAAAAGAATATCCTTGAATTTCATGTCTCCCAAGAGGATATGAGATTAGTACCAAGTCCACCAAAGGTTCTTGTAACCGTCTCCCCTTTTGTCTCATGGAAATTTTAGTATTTAATCCCATAAGTTGGGAAATGAAGAGAAGGAATTTTGAAAACAATAAAGACACCAACATGCTAACTCCCCTAAGTTGTAAACCACTTTTATTTTGCCCTCTGAACTTTCAATTTAGTTTTCATCTTTCTAAATTTTCACGCCAGTGTCCCGCTAACTATCAATTTTGTAACAATGTTATGTTAAGTCATCTTCTCTTTCTCTCAACTCAATAGCACATGTGAATTAGTCGACTATGTAGTTATGTTTATTTTATTTCTTTCAACTATTGTTTTTCATCCCAATGCAATGCATGCAAGTAAATTTTAGGGGCATGTACGTCCGCAAAATGCTTTTATTAAGTGAACAAATAATTATATGGAAATTCTGATAATCGAGTTGTGACATAAAATTAAGAAGAATCGGAAACTTATACATTTGTAGTAATTCAAATCTAATGTCGGGGGAGATTGACACTAATTGAAAGTATAGAGAGGCTCAAAACTAAATTGAAAACTTAGGCAACACTATCGTTGAGGAGAAAATTTTCATTGTAACCGGAGCATAAGTAATACATCACGTGTTTTTGTAGAAGTTGTGAGAAATTTTATTTTTTAACTTATTAACATTTTAACACACATATCTCACCATTTGTATAATGACACGTAATGTATTGTCCCGTATACCGATCACAATGAAAATCTCTCATCCTTTGGAGGCATTTCTAAAAAATTATTTTGTTGAAATTCCAATAAAACATAATGCAATAAACTTTTAACGAAAAGCTCCGATCACATTTTTACGCAAATGAAAACATAAGATTAACAGAAATATACCTGCAACCAAGTACCAGCAGCAGCAAGAGAGCCAAGCAGACCAGCAAAAAGCAGAGTATCCTTCCCCTGAAACACATTTGCCACAAGAATTCCCTTTTGCATTGTGCTCGTCACATGAGTCCCCATCAGAAACGCCCCCGAGAATTCCAACACCGCCGCCGTCAGCACCGCCTGCCGCAGCGACAGCGCTCCCGAACCCACCGAAGTCCCCATGGCATTGGCCACGTCGTTGGCTCCGATGTTCCACGCCATGTAAAACCCGAATAGCAGAGTAGCATAAGACAGCATCTTGGTCTTCAAGGTCAGCCCTTGCCCCAGAGACTTCATGAAAAACGGAAGGCTCAGAGCAGCAAACGCTATGCAGATGGAAATGGCGGAGGCCGTGCCGGAAGATATGTGGAAGGCCTGCGCCATTCCCGGCGACTCAGTTTGCTCCCCTGTTTCTGAGATTTCGTGATGTTGTTCGGCTTTGACATTTTGGTTTTGTTCTTCGTTTTTGCCTTCGGCATCGGCGAAAGAGGATAAACTGGCAAAAGGGTGTGAGAGTTTGGAGTTGTTGAGCCTCAAAGTGGGGAGAAAATACTTGGGCAGTGGTGTTTGGGAGCTGAGAAAGTTTGTGACTTTCTTGGGAAAGTGGGGTTCTGTTGGGAGGAAAATGGAGCGGTGCTTTGGGAGGTAGAGGTGAGGATTGTGGAGGAGGAATGCTTCTGGTCTGGATGTGGTTCTTACAGAAGATAGGCAGTAAGAAGGAATCATGTCTCAGGTGGAGAGAGATGGCAGCGGCTGAGAGTGGAGGAGGAGGAAGAAAGAGGGTTGAGAATCCAGAGGGAATTATTCAGGTAGATTCTTGGCCAATGGCCATGGAATTTGGTGAGGGAGAGGAGAGGAATGCAACTGGGTAGTGTGCATTTTTTTTATTTGGATATGATTATTATTTTTTGTTTTAAATTTTTTTGGTGGAAAGAAAGGGAGGTAGGAGTGGATTTGGGCGGCTCCTTGGTTCGATTGGAACGAGTGGTGGGCGTGTTTCTTGAGGGACTTCTCACCATTCATTCATGTATTCTATTGGTCAAATATTCAGAAAAATTGAGACTACGAAAAAAGGAGGAGAAAAAAGAGAGAATATTTCAAGCACCATATCCAAAAGAGATGATCCTGATGATTTTTATTGTGACTTGTGAGGAATGATTATATAGAATGTGTTCTTCGTTATTGTGACATTCTATTTCAATAAAATAATTAAATGTGCAAGTTTTTTAATATATGAAGTTGTGTTATTAAATTAGACCGTTATGTGATAATCAACTCGTTCTATATAAGTTGCAGATAGTGTTTTACAACAGTATCGGAAAGCAATCATGCCTCAGTCTCCCTCATCTCCTTTGCGATCTCAACCTCCCTGATTATTGTCACACTCTGGTAGTCTTCATCCACACCCACAACGTTGTCATTCACTTCTTTTTTGGTGTTCATCATTGAGTTCGTTCATTGATTTGTGTTGGAGGGAGTTTTAGGCTTGAGCTTCGAGTTATAATGAGGCAAGCCTAACAAAAAAATAAATCAAATGGATTCAAGCCTAAACCACATAGAACTAATCAGATCGAACCAAAATCGAATATTTTACGTTTTTGATGGGGTTGTAATATTCTTCTGTCTTAGGAGGAGGAGGAGGAGTGGAGGAGTGGAGGAGAAAGACATCAGAGAGGAGAGAACCATGGAGAGAGTTGAAAGTTGTTGGGTTACAATTTTTCTGGTGGTTCATTGAACCCGTTGTGATATAACTTTGATTTAATTACAACCATTGAGATTGATCCAACAGATGAAAAAAGAAATGTGTAAATAACATTTGTATTTTTTTATTTTTTATTTTGATAAAACCAAAAGGTCAAAAACTCTAACCTAACTCAAATCATCTGAACCATCATATCTCATTTTACAAATACCAAGCACATCATCCATAAGAGCAGATGTAATCCAAGAAGAAGGACCATGGAAAACAAGGTTTGCCAAATCACAATTGAAACTCCAGTTCGCCATCTGATCAGCAACACAACTTCCCGCCCCGGCTAAACATGTGTATTTTGGCATGTACACTAAAGAAGCACTCATTGAAGTAGTACAGCCTAAATTTCTATTAAGCCCAAGATGAAATGCTCCAGCCCAATAGCTCCCCAATTATGCAGGGCGGGAATGAGACCCAACATTAAATAATTTCTTTCCTTGACATAACGATAGTTTCTTTATAAAGGTAAAGATTTTTGGGCCAAGCCATACTCCAAGTGAGTTTAAGTGTTTAGTTTCGTACTCATATCTATGAGGGTCAAATACCAGACCTTTTTTTTTTTAAATCGCGAAAAAATTGCTCCTATATTGTAGTATTACGTGGTTAAGTACAATATAATTTTACACGTACTCACACAGTACTTAGTATTGTGACATACCAAGTATATTGTATATTGGACAATTAGTTGCAATTGATTTGTAGCTCAATTTATTCAGAATGTAGTCTCT